GTCCTAACGAAGTCAAAAAAATCCTTTCTCTATTCGATTTATTTTTCATTTTGTACAAATCTCTAGCATGTTACTGAGTCAATAACATCACATAATATTCTACTAGTCTTACAGTGACATTCTGTTGTGAATACTTCTGTATCTAAAATTCGAGTAATATAGGAAACAAACATATTATCATACACACTGCAATACATAAATCTATACACAAGATCAGCATGGATTAGCGGCACTTTATGAAAAAAACAAGAGACCCAACTATGTACATAGACAGTGTTATAGACATCAACACATTCACGATTAAAATATATTGAACTACCTTGTCATTATCTATAAAAATTAGAAACCTGTTATGAGAAAGAAACAAGACTCCAGAAATATGGATAACTAAACTCGGCAGTCGATGTGATGTCGACAGTCACGGCGTCCCCCGTCGCTGGGGGTCCCGCGGGCGCTGCGGCCGGCACCAGCGGCTTGCTGAGACTGACGCTCTCGTCGTCGTCTTCCCGCCCCGCGCCGGTGCCGCCGCTGCTGCCGCCGCTGCTGCTCACGGAGTCGCCCCCGCAGCGCCGGCCGCCCCCGCGGCCGGGGCTGGGGCTGCTGCTGCTGTCGCCCGAGCCACCCGGGCCGCGGGGCGAACCCCCGCGGAAGAAGAGCGGCTGCAGTCGGGCAGCGGGCGGCGGCGGCGGCGGCGGGAAGGGGCCGGGCGAGGACGAAAGCGGGCGAGGGTGGCCGAGCGCCGGGTGCATTGTCCTCCCGGGCTCCCTCCCAGCCAACCTGGGACTGGCGCGCCAGCCGCCGCCGCCTCTGCCCAGCGGCCGGGCCTCGTACCCCGGCTGGGCGGCGGCGAGATCAGGACTGGAGCCGCCGGACCGGGCGATCCAGGCCCGGGCGGCTGAGAGCTGGGCTGGCGAGGCGTGGGGCCGACCGCGGTGGCCGCGGCGGCGGCGACGGCGGGCTGGGCGGAGAGCAGCCTGGCGGGGAGGAGAGGGAGGCTGGCGGTGGGGAAACCAGGACTGGATTCTAGGGAGAGAGGAGGAGCGGAGACCAGAAAGGGAGAAAACCTGGCTCGCCGAATCCGCGGCTAGAAGGGAGGGGCGCCCTAGGGGTCTGGAGAGGAAGGAGAGAGGGGCCGGTGACCTCCAGAACGAGGATGGGCTTGGTGTGGGGAGGACTTAAGGGCGCACAGGATTCCCGAGGCAGTCGCTCGCAGGCAGAACCTTGGCTGAGAGGCGGGAGCACAGGTGGCCGTCTGGCCTTAGTCTCCGTGTAGACCGTGCCTGCTAGCACCGGACTTAGGCTCCTGCACCTGCTCAGCACAGCTTCTGCCGCCTCTATCCTCCGTCACCTGCTCTGCCCACTGAGCCTCCCTGTGTCTCCCTAAGGCGCTTAAAAAGGAATGGAAGAGCCAGGCCCTGCTCAGACAAAGAACCAGGGACCACAGCACCATTCATTGTCCTACAGATTCACCGCCCTGTACTGGGTTGAGTGAACCCTGCCCCAGGAGACCCCAACTTCGAGGGGATGAAGTTCCCTGAATATTACTGATTGGAAAGAGAAAATAAAGGCATTGGTCAAGTGGTCGCAACCAAGTGAGGTTTTTTATTTTCTTAAAGATTTTTTTTTTTTTTGACAGGCAGAGTGGACAGTGAGAGAGAGAGAGAGACAGAGAGAAAGGTCTTCCTTTTGCCATTGGTTCACCCTCCAATGGCCGCACTGCAGCCAGCGCACTGCACTGACCTGATGGCAGGAGCCAGGTACTTATCCTGGTCTCCCATGGGGTGCAGGGCCCAAGCACTTGGGCCATCCTCCACTGCCTTCCTGGGCCACAGCAGAGAGCTGGCCTGGAAGAGGGGCAACCGGGACAGAATCCGGTGCCCCGACCGGGACTAGAACCAGGTGTGCTGGCGCCGCAAGGTGGAGGATTAGCCTAGTGAGCTGCGGCGCCGGCCTTTCTTAAAGATTCTTAAAGTGGAAGTTGGAACTAATAGGGAGATGTGCCCAGCACAGAGGAAAATATAGGGAGTTTTGGAGATCTAGGTACTTTGTTAAAAGCAGAGGCTCAAAGGGGGTGATGGCAGGCAGAAGGCACAGTGAGCAGGCAGGGGTGGGGTACAGCATCAGCGATCCCCACCAACAAGCTCAAGAACTCCCCTTGACTCAGGACCCACCCTGACTCACTGGCTCCATGACTGGGGTGGATGTCCATGAAGTGACTCTGGAAGCAGAAGGTGGAAGTGGTATCTTTAGGGAGATGGGGGAATGAGATGGGGCTCCTGTGTGAAGCAGACAACACATGCCCATTCATCAGAGCAAGGCAGGACGCCTGACTGCAAGTTCTCTGCCCTGGGTTTGTTACCTTCAATCTGCTGCAGCCGCCGGGCTCATCTTCCTGGAGAAATCTGCACAACACTAGGGCATGGACGCATGGGACCCATGGCAGTTAGTTGCCAAGGCCTTGCCCCTCAATCTGCCACTTGAACAAATCTGCTTCCTCCAGCTTCTTGGAGGTCAAGCTGTGCGAACAATCCTTGGTAGTGTGGGATCCAGAACTCACGACACCGGACAGACTTGGTGGCGCAGCAAGTTGGCCTGCAGTTTGAAACACAAGCATCCCATGTTACAGTGCCTGGTTTGAGTCCCACTTACTCCACTTCCTATCCGGCTTCCTGCTTTGCACCTGGAAAGGCGGTGGAAGACAACCCCAGTACTTGAGTCCCTGCCACCCATGCGGGAGATCTGGATGGAGCTCGAGACTCCAGGGCTTCAGTCTGATCCAGTGCTGGCTGCCTCAGGCATTTGTGGGACGACCAGTGGATGGAAGATTGCTTGCTGTCACTCCCCCTCTGTCACTCTGCCTTTCAAGTGAATAAATCTTGAAAACACAAAACTCACAACCTCTACTGTTTCTACTGTCCCGCTGGCACACACAGCCTTTGAAAAGTCCTGTGTCCTATCATCACGCAAGGTGTAGCAAGTACAATGGTGAGAGCCTGTGCTCTGGGCCAGCGGGGCCAGCTCGGGCACTTAACAGTGTATGGTTATTTCGCCTCTTTGAGCCTTGAGCGCCATCCTTTTTAAGATTTTATTTATTCATTCGACAGGTAGAGCTACAGACAGTGAGAGAGAGAGACAGAGAGAAAGGTCTTCCTTCCATTGGTTCACTCCCCAAATGGAATCCAGGAGCCAGGTGCTTCTCCCTGGTCTCCCACGCAGGTGCCATCCTCCCGGGGGCACTTGGGCCATCCTCCACTGCCCTCCCGGGGCCATAGCAGAGAGCTGGACTGGAAGAGGAGCAACCAGGACTAGATGGCGCTTGAGCGGCATCTTAACTGCTTGTTGCAAATACGGTGTAAAGGGCTAGCCCAGTGCATGGCTCAGTTAAAGGCATCTGGTGTTATAGTGGCTCCACTTAGCTGAGTTCTCTGTCTCCCAGGGGACACTCACTCAAAGCAAGGGCTGTCGGGGGTTGCATTCCTTCCCGAGGCCACACTCACAATTCTGCTCCCCCACAGCTCTGCACTTCAGAGCATTGGTTCTTGGGGCTGGTTTTTCCAGGCCCCGCCGTGGAAGAGACCCAGCCACGCCAGCTGGTGCCAAGGGGTGAGGCGGAGAGACAATAGCTTGGCCTTCCCGTGTACATGCGTGGCAGTAGCAGGTCCGGCAGATGTCAGAGCAGAGCAGTCCCTGTGAAAAAGGGGACTGGGGAGCTGCGGGCCGCTAATGGCAGTGATTATAGCCCATCTCCCTGTCTCCCCAGCAGCTCATGTGGAGTTAATGGAGCAGTTGAAGAAACAATAGCAGCTGATGGAAGGCAAAGAACTGGACTCCCGAGAGAGCACTGCAGACCCTGCCTCCACCCCTCTGGGCCCCCAGTCCCCCGCAGGCCCACAGAGGGCTCAGGCCTGGCCCTCCTGTCACAGGTGCTTTGAGAGGACTTCTTTCCTCCCCACGCAGCTGAATGTTAACTGTCCTTTGAAGTCGCTCTGCATTGCTAGCAAATGTGCTGTCAGTTAATCAGATGAACTTTCTTTGAGAGACTCTTCTGCCCCACTTCTTTCAGGCCTGAGATCCTGGATAACAGTACCACAGATAATTAGGGTGAGAAGTCAGGTACACTGCAGAATATGCTGGAGGCCTGGGATGGTTGTGATCTGCTCTTTGCACTGGGTTTTTCCAATCTTCTACACATTCTCACACACTAACACACACACACACACACACACACAGCCTTTGCTTCAGTCAGGAAAGGCTTGATAAAGATGTGATAAGAGTGGGAAGAGGAATGTCCAAAAGATTTTCACACCCAGAGTGAGAACAGAGGAGGACATTTGGTGTGGCAGTTAAGATACTGCTTAAATATATTTGCATCCCATATCAGAGAGCCTGGGTTTCAGCCCCAGCTCCACTTCTGGTTCCAGCTTCCTGCTAAGCCACACCACCAGAGGCAGCAGGTGATGATGGCTCAAGTACTTGGATCCTTGCCACCAACATGAGAGAACCAGATGGAGTTCCTGGCTCCTGGCTTTTTTTTTTTCTATTTTTTTTTTTTTAATATTTACTTCTTAGGGAGCCGGCACTATGGCGCAGCAGGTTAAGCCATGCAGTGCCTGCATCAAGTCTCAGCTACTCCACTTCCAATCCAGCTCCCTGCTAATGCACCTAGGAAAGCAGTGCAAGATGGCCCAAGTTCTTGGGACCCTGAAACCACACGGGAGACCCAGAAGAAGCTCCTGGCTCCAGGCTTCAGCCTGGCCCATCCCAGGATGTTGTGGCCATTTGGAGAGTGAACCAGCAGATAGAAGATCTCTCTCTCTGCCTTTCAAATAAATAAATATATCTTTTGGGGCTGGCTATGTGACACAGTAGGTTAATCCTCTGCCTGCGGCGCTGGCATCCCATATGGGTGCTGGTTTGAGTCCCGGCTGCCCCTCTTCCAATCCTGCTCTCTGCTAT